CATGGAATACTGTTCCCATATCTGGGCTGGGGCTCCCCAATGCCAGCTCCTTCCACTTGACCGCATCCAGCGCAGAGCGGCTCGAATCGTCGACGATCGAGTCCTTTCCGATCGGCTCGACTCATTGGCACTGCGAAGAGATGTTGCATCCTTTTGCATTTTCTTTCGCATCTACCATGGGGAGTGCTCTGAGGAATTGTTCGGATTAATCCCAGCCGTCAAATTTCACGAACGCACATCGCGGCAGAACTCCCGATACCATCCACACCATCTGGATGATTGGCGGTCCACCACTGTGCGATTTAGAAGATGTTTTCTTCCTCGCACGACCTCCTTGTGGAATTGATTACCATCAGCGATTTTTCCGGACGGATACGACTTAGGGACCTTCAAGAAAAGAGCGTACTCCTTTTTAAAAGGCCGGCAACGCATCTGCAATTCCCCTGGTGCTGCGGTTGTTTATGGGCGGCGGTAGTCACTTACCATCAGGTAAGCCGCATGCTCGTTTGCCCCCTCTCCTATGAAAAAAAATGTCTTGGCTTCAAATATATAGCGGAATAGCCAACTCGTTTATATCAGACATACAATACACAGGTCCGGAAGGAGAAGTATTTTCGAATTTCGTATATGAAACGCGAACATGTCTTTTTATCTACTAACGTTTCAACAAGTTTTCTCTGTCCGTAGAATAAACAGTAAAAAATACTCCGCACGTATACTCTTCGTTGTCATTATTATATAGGACAAATATTATAACATTCCTTATCAAAATTAAAAAGGAATATACCCATTAGTAATCAAAGCATTCAAGATGTATATCTATGCTTCATATTTTAATTGTGGATTTAATATTTTCGGTGTTTGTATCCCAAATAATTAATAAATATCCGTAACTGCTGAAGGTAACCAAAAAATCAAGCAAATTTTTTGGTTATCTTAAGCATTTACGGAATTTTATATCAAGCCAAATGCGAAAAACGTACACAACTATATAGGGTAATATATATTATTTCCGTGCCACTACACGGCTTTCAACCAAAACCTTGTTTACTTTAAAGAACGAAGGATTTCTTCGTAATTCCAGAGTCATTATAATTGTTAGAAGTGTAGATACTAGGACAAATAATTCTGTACCTTGACACCTCTCACAATAACAAGATAATAAGAAAGATTTGAGTTAAGCCATAAACCTTAGTAGTGGTTTACGTATAACAGATTCCTTGCAAATTTAGCGGTACTTCCGTCGCCCATTTAGAAATTTTATATCTAAGTAAACCATGTATGTACGGTTATACTAAAAACTATAGGAAGCTTTATGATCTTCTCGGGCTTACTCTGTTATAATTTCTCTTATGCCGCCTCCAGATTGCTAGATTATTTCTCAAACTATACTAAAGAAATGATGGATTTACATCGAGTAAAATACCTTTTTTTTATAGAGTAGGGTGAAAAACGAGCACAAAGTTCACCTGATGGTACGTGGTTGCTGTGGCCCATAGACATGTACATCTATCAAATGCACACATATATATATAGCTTTATTATTGATCGATATTCCAAGCACGCAACGCTAACACACCGTTAATCGCTTACGCTCGAATGACGTCCGGTTATTGATGACTTGTCAATTAATCTTGATCAGATGTCCACAAACGCCGACGCATTTGCTGGATTTCAAGTGCTTTCAGGATTTACTAGTAGTATTTTTGAAATATCTTGATACGTCAATAAGGTTATATGTGGTAGAGCCATGTTGCAACTATATTAATAGTATAGTTGTAGCACGAATGGGTTGGCTCGACCGGGGAAGGACCACGCTCTCACAGAGTACCAGCGTAAAATAGCAGCTTAACACTGCTTTGTTTCGTATGGTAAGCGTAGAGAACCGGAGACATATTTTACTGGACAAGAGGTTTTCCGTCTTAGTCCTCACGGGTGACAACGCATCTACATTTTAAATTCGCAAACGAAGATAGATGTATAGATGTCTATGGGCCACAGCAACCACTTACCATCAGGAAGACTGTGTGCTTGTTTGTCACCCTTATTCTATAAAAATAGGAATCAGTCGTTACTTTGCGGAAATCCATTACATTAAAGTTGGAAAAATTTATTTTGTGAATATCCGCGCAATTAATCTATTGAGTGGATACTGGCAAAGTAAACTTTTCCAACTTTAATATTCTGTCGGTATTATTGAATACAGCCTCCTTCGTCTCGTAGTCATAAACACAATTGCTGATAGTAAGGTTCCACGTTCAAATTTATTTTCTGGTTCGAATGCGCAGATGGCTAATCTCTGTAGAGATTGGCCGCGTTTTGTGACCAAGATTGAAATCCGACCTGGAGGACATTATTCTGCTGATACATTGGGCTGGAAAGTCACAAATCTATATAATAAGTCTTGATAAAAAATGCGATTTTTATTTTTAAAATGACACATTTCCGATATTTCGTGCAATGGTTCTCAAGCAATGGTGTAATTTTATAGATTTTCTTGTTTCACGCAATTTTTAAAAAGAACAAACTTACGGATATTTTAAATGAGATTATTCATAATCGTTGAGCCCGTCTGGTACTAGATTCCTAGCGTCATGAAATGTTTAATTTTATCATCATATTATATGAAAGTTTTATCCCGAAAATCCCGAAATTCGGACCTTACATGTACACAAATGAGAATGTCAAAACTTTGATAATTAACGAAGTTTAATCCCTAAATGACGAGCAGACAGAAATATTATACAAATATTTAAATATCAATTTTAAACAAGTAAATTTATCACTAAAAATGTTATTATACGCAATAGTTAAAACATTTTTGTCAGAGGTCACCATCCATATTATATGAATCCGTTTTAATTTATGACATATTATTTCGAGTTTAATTTATTTAGTAAAAACATAAATTCTTCTTATAAACTATTATGCAAATTAAAGAAAAAAAAGGTATTTTACAAAATAATTCCGTATGTAAACAAAAAAATGTTAAGTAATAACATTTTTAAAACCCCCGAAAAAAACGAGTTGATGACATTCAAACGGCTGAGCAGATATTCTTAAAGCATAGCTAAGACCACTCTCGATTAAGACACCATTTAAAAAAAATGTAATTAAAATCTATTCATCTGTTCAGGAGTTATGTTGCCACAGATAGACACGCAGATACACAGATACACACGTCAAACATATAACACCCCTTTTTTTCGTTTGGGTTAAAAATACCTGTTAAATAAACTCTGTCTGTTAGTAGTGTGCCCAAAAGACAGCCTGAGTTGCCTCGTTGTATTGTAAGGCTGATCCGCTGACCAAAATATCTGCCAACTTTTGGGTTACCAGAGACATTGTTAAAGCGTGATGAGATATCGCAATAGTTGTATTATGGCTGCAATACGACTCGATCCGGAAACGGCCATGCTCTCACAAAACACTAGCGTAAAATAGTTGTTTATTTCAGTAATATGCTGTGATTTGGATGTTGAGTCGAGAAAACCGGAGACCCCTTTTGATGGAAACCAGGCATTCCATCTTAGTCCTTAGGGGTGACAACCGCTCTGCATTTTGATTCTTTATTGTCGATAGATGTAGCTATCTATGGGCCATACCATCCATTTCTCATCAGATAGACTATATGCCCGTTTGTCATCGTTATTCTATAAAAAAATATACAGCATGCAAGCAACACGGGTTCGATACCTGCCAACACTAATAAAATTATTAATAGCAAATTCAACTGCTGATTTCTTTGTGCTCGATGGTGAAGGAAAACACCATCAAGTGAAACATAAACATCATCACTAAGTCTACGTGTTTGAGGAAGTCCACCAAAATGCGCTGAAGCAACGATTACTGTCAATGCAGTATACAAGTTTGTCTGCTTAGAGAGATTTGGTAAATTCGTGTATACGCTATGGATACATTCGTGCTATAACTACAATACACCTGCAACATGGCTCTACGAAGTATAATATGCACTATGGTGAACGATTAGCTCCTATTTCATAATATAAAAGCGACAAACGATTTAACTGTCTACTTCACGGTAAGTGGCTGCTGGAGCACCGTAACCACCTTCAAACAAATAAGGCCACGGTAACTTTTCATGCGTGAAAACTGACTGTCATACTGACTTTTCCTTAAGCTAGAATTAAGCAGACAATGCACTGCTGTTTAACAGCATAAATAGGACTTTTTATTAATTCATTCAACAGAGCAGTGACGGGTAGTAGAGTCAAAGATGTGAGACGTCTAGTACTCGCACTGTTATTGTCAATAAGCCTGCCCAGCGTGACGATGCGCAAGCTTTACCCTTTACCCTAAGGGTACGTTCACATGACAAACATTCAACGCGCGTTGAACGCGCGTAAAAGTTTTGTATAGTGTTCACATAGTGCGCGCTTTCAGGCGTTACACGCGCGTTGCCGCGGCCGCCCTGGCCTGGCTCATTTGAGCTCTACATTTATCGAAGATGGACGTAGAAACAGTTTTAGCGGTGATTTTTTACCGATGGCAAAAACGACGAGACAGAAGACGGAGGTATTGGGTCCACCCAATTTTTTCATACAGGCTGACTGAAAGCCAGTACATAATTTTGTATCCTAAGTTAAGGAAATTCGAACCCAAATTTTTTAACTACTTCAGAATGCCCATCAAGTCATTTGATTACTTACTGGCTCTCATAAACGATGAACTCGTAGCAAATAAAAAAGCAGTGCGATATAGTATTTCACCAGAAGAAAAACTAATAATTACATTGAGTTAAGTTTTTTATTAATCAAGACACAAATTTATAAATCAATACTTGTTTAGGAACAAAAGAAAAAAAAAGGAAGGAAGAAAGAACATTTTGTTAATCGTAGAATAACTCTATCTCCAAATCACTGCTGGCGTTGGTTGGTGCAGGTGATGGAGTGTGTGTTACTGGCGATAGAGATCCCATTGCTGTAGTATAACCATAATGTGCTAAATTATTTGGCTCACTAGATTGCTGTGATCTGTAATCATGTTGTTGAAAGCCTTTTTTTCTTTTCTTCATTTTCATCCCCTTCACAGAATATAAGGACGAGTTCTTCCCAAGCCCGTCTCCTTAAGTTCTTATCTGAATAAACGCTACTTGTCATGTCCCATACCGCAGGACGTTTCTCTATTTCATCTATAAATAATTCGGTATTAAAAGCTTCCGTTTCCATTTCGGACGATTTCTGGATGAACTGAGCGAACCCTAAAATACGTAGCTCCGCATCAAAAGCGAACGGTAACATAGAAAACCAATGATCTCAAAGCGCGGGTTGACGCGCGCTGACAACAGTCGAGCGCTAGCGCAGCGTTCAACGCGCGCTTTAATAAAGCGCGCGTTAGCATGTGTACGGCCTGAATAAAACTGATGTTAGTTGTAAGCGCGCGTTATCAAAACGCGCGTTGAGCGCTTGTCATCTGAACGTACAGTTACTGTTGTAATTTCATAAGATAAATCGTGTTTGCATTTGAAATTGCTTTTTCTTACGTCTTTTTACATTTTTCAAAATTTTCAATAAATTATATCGCATACGAGTATGTTAAGGGTTTCCGCACTTTGATATTTTGCTATTTGATCCAGCAATATTCCCTTCGTTAAAATATGAACCTAACATTTGATGTATCGTGTTTGATATGAGCAAAATAAAAAAAAATATTGTAAGATTACGGATAGATATTAAAAATTGTTTACAAGGTTATTCATTGGCATATAAAAGTCCACTGCTGGAAATAATACTCTCCCGTTCACGGCCTACAGGTTCAAATGCCTTTGGAATATTTTAACTTTCCAAACATGCAGGTTTCATCCCAATATTTTCCTAAGAGTTACTTAAAATTGCAATTATTGAACTTGCCTGTTTCGTTGGTCTAATGGTTGTTAATGAAGTTGCTGATCATGAAATCCCAATAATAATTATATAAAAAGCACATTGTCAGAAAGATAAAAGATTTTTAAACTTATTAATATTTTCTTTAAATCGATTAATTTCTATATTTACATAAAAAAGGGGTTTAGTAGCTTATGGTGTGGATTTATCAAGTCCCCGTGGCGGCGTAAATATGATAACTTTTGAAAATATCAATTGTTCAACTAAATCTATTTTTAAAACGATGAAGAGTTTTACGAGTCTATCATGTGGGAAGACATGGAATGTAAATGGCAGTTGAATTTAGTTTTGTATAATTATAATTAATTTTTTTCGGCTAAGAAATGGCAAAATTTTCGGTGTTTTGAGAGCCTTCTATTAATTTATTTTAATAAATAGGCCGCAACCGTAGTCCGAGCCACAGCCACAGAGTACTTTATTTACTCCCGGCTCAAATGCCGTCGTGAGTGGTCGTTTTTTACAGCGGCTCGTGTAACCTATTATATATAATACTGTTTGGTCTATATAACTGACAACAGAACAATCGATTTTGAAATGTATTGTCTGCTGAAAAAATTAAATGATTCACTTAAACAGAAAAGGCCGGAATTGATCAATAGAAAGCGTGTAGTGTTCCACCAAGATAATGCGAAACTTCATACAATTTTGTCAACCCGCCAAAAGCTTTTTCAGCTTGAATGGGATATACTGCCACACCCACCATATTTTTCAGATCTGGCACCTTTTGATTATTATTTATTTATGTCTCAATTTTTTTTAAATGGTAAAACCGTTACTACAAATTAAAAATTTAAAATATTTTGAAATGGTTTTGCTTTTTTAGACAAATTTAGTATATTCTTTTTATAGGATAGGGTGACAAACGAGCACACAGTCCACCTGATGGTAAGTGGTTGCTGTGGCCCATAAACATCTACATATATCCTCGTTTGTGAATCAAAATGCAGATACGTTGTCACCCATGAGGACTAAGATGGAACAACTCTTTTCCAGTAAAAAGGGTCTCCGGTTCTCTACACTCACCATACGAAACACAGCAGCATTAAGCTGCTATTTTACGCTGGTATTCTGTGAGAGCGTGGTCCTTCCCCGGTCGAGCCGACCCATTCGTGCTACAACTATACTACTAATATATCTGCAGCATGGCTCTACCACGTAAAAAAAGTCAAAGCTCATTCATCATCAATATCTTCAAAGTAATCGAATTAATATTCATTCTTAACCATTGGGGAAAAAATTAACATTCTTTTTATGTACAGAACGCAAAAGTCGCTCAAAAATGCAATGATTCTACAATATAAATGCTATTACACCAAAAAAAGCTACGAGGTACATCAAATTATTCTTTATAACGCTTTTGTTATTTAAATTCCTACTTTATTTTATTCAGCCAATCACCGCCGCAGATTGTCTTCCAAATACTCAGACGTACAAACGAGCGGGAAATGCAAAACCTGAAATAAATCTCACACCAAGACGCTCGAGAGCGATCTGCGAGAAGTTTTCGTTTTAAATTCTATTGCTGAACGTAACTATGGACGGTGTGGCGTACATCCCTTACCTTTGTAATTTTCATTACATGTTTATGAAATTAATATTAAATTTTATATAGTTTACTAGATTTAATCTAATATATTACTAATTAATAGAGCCGTGTATTGGTACATAAGTATATGTTCCCCATAGATTGACAAGAGGGATATTTGCCTTAGTTGCCACACTTAGCAAGAGGGTTGGCAACCGCAGTTTTTTTTATTTTTATCGTTACTAAGAAGACGCTGGCACCTATCTCCTGATTTGTTTCCCTCTGCCGCTTCTTATGACATCCACGGGATGGTACGGGATAGTGGATATTCTTACATCCTGACAATACGGTAATGTATTCAGCAGAGCACTTTAATAGGCTGCAAAGGTGATGTTGTAGTGGTAGGTAAATAGAATCCACTTATACATATTATTGTGGCTATCATAATAAGCGATAAAGGAAAATGAAACAGGAGATATTCAGAAGCTTTTTAGTAATAATAACTTAAAGTAATTCTTCAAGTAATAATAATACAACTTTGTGGTAACTCTGGCAAATATCGGAAGCCCTATGTTTAGCATGTACTTTAATAGGCTCTAATAAATTTAATGAACGAAGTTACTAATAAATAGCTCACATATAAGTGTAAGTATTAGTTTTTATAATAATTAAGTGAAAAACGACCTTATAGTCTATTTAATGGTAAGTGGCTACTGTTTGTGGCTAGAACACAAAATGAAAGTAACGTTACAGAAATGCCTGATCACTAAAATGACCGTTTCAGGCGAGTGGGCAACCGCAGTTTTTTATAATTTAGTGTTGTTATCAGGAAGATGCTGCTGCCCATCTCCTGTTTCAGTTTCCCTCTATCGCCTCTCACTGCACGCACGGAACGATAATATATCTTGATCGATATCGGAATGTATATTCTTACACCGTCACCACATGTTCTAATTATTTCACAAATTACATTATACAAAGGCGACAAATTACACATCTGGTGGATTGTGTGCTCGGTTGTCACAATTATCCTTCATCAGCAAATAAACTATCCGCTATTGGACATAGACCACTTCTACAAAAGGAGGCTCCAGATGGACGTCAACGACTTATACTATGATAAAGGCGTAAGAAATTTTTTTTTCTTCTACATAAGTCCGTAAATGTCTACCATTGTAGACGGGCCTCTCCCATTGTTGGGATTTCCTTTAATCACAACGTTTGGTAGGTGGATTAACGATTGCAGTAGATATCATACGTCTGATATTATTGACGCTGCAGCACATCACCGATCTGGTTAATTACGTCTATTATAAGCAAAATGGTTATACCGGCATCTGTTGGAGTCACATCTTTCGATACCCACGGGAAGAAATGTAATAAAGGATTTTCTTACGCTGGCGTTTTGTTTATCAGAGGACGTATAATATTCCTATAATCTCTCGTCGCCAATATATAACGATTTTCTTGAAATGAGGTCGGTCACCACTCGGTAAATACTTATTTTTAACTACTTATCTTTTATTTATTCCATTATTAGCTTTAAAAAAATCTAAACAGAAATGCCATCAGAAACCTTAGTAGGGGAAATAGTTCATTTGAATTCCGTCGTGCTATTAAAATTGGAGATTTTACTGCCTTTAATCTAAAACCGACGGCGGATGATGCCGAAGCGTGTGCCGTTACCCTACTAATTAAGGGCTTGATGCATCCAAACGTTCATGTTATCTCAGGATTCTTTGTTCTCATTTACGATTTAGTGATAATTGAATTTCGATTTTATTGGATCATTTATTTACCACTGTTTCCCTAAAATATTTTATTTAATTTAAGATTAATTAGTGAGTGCTTTAATATATTTAAAAAATAAACAATTTGTTTATTTTATTATTTATTATGTTTATTAAAATTTATATGTTAATAAGTTCACAGTCAACTGTTTAATTTCCCTCAACTTTGAAAATTAAACATTTTTAACCTAACTGTATTTTGTAAAATAATAACAATGTAATAATAAAAATATACACAATATAAATATATACAAATATTATCAGGTGTGTAAGGAACTCTAGAAGTGTTGATTTTTTTGGATAACAATATTAGGGTTTAATTAATTTAAACAACGGGCATTAATCATGAGCTGACTTGGTGACTGGGCTAAGTGGCGCGCCTTGGAAGAAGTCTATGTTTAGCAGTTAACTTCCGCAGACTGATGATGATGACACGATGAGATGATAATCCTAATATCAACTAGGTGACTATGCATTAAATTGTATGGTCATCGGTCCTTCATACGACTGCACAATTTCAGATTATTCAATTAAAATAAAACATTAACAGCACACATTGACCATAAACTGTAATAATCCTGGTCATAGCCATTAAATTATTTTATTGTAAATTATTTTACTATACATCTGCAAATTTTCAATTTATTGAGACGTTTGTAAGTGGGAAAAAACTGAATTATAATATTCCACTACATTCATTCATACACACAGATGAAGCTGATATAAAACGTGTGAAAATGGAAGCTATGACTTGCGTATTTAATATAACATCATATTAATATCACTTAAGCTCGTGTTTTTTTTGCAGGATGAAAATAGACCATAGCGATTGACGATTTTATTTAAATTAATACATCAAGTATTAGTTAAAAATTCATTCACCGCTGATGACAAGAGTGCTGATGGTTGGTGAGAGCAAGAGAAGCTTTAAAGATTCTTTTTTATTTCTGCGTATATATAATTGTCTAAACTACTGAAAGACAAATTAATATTAATAAAGTTTTAAAATTTAATTCATTACAATAGAAAATTAATTAAAAACA